TGTAGCACTAAATAAGGCAAACATGACTGTGGCTTCCAGGCATTTACACTCCAGTAAAGGTGAGAGAAGAAGAAGCAATGACAACACGGTTTATGTCTAAGGCAGAGATGGCTTTATCATGTGACTGGCCTTGCCAGGGTCACAGGAGCACATAGAAAAGGCATACTGGTGGGTCAGAGAAGCACTCCGATAGTTGACCAGTGGATGGTTTTTGAATGTCATTTAGGAGCCAGGCACTGAAATTTACAAGCTGACACCTGAATGTTAAGAATTTTGCAGATAAGAGAAGTAGAGGTAGTAGAGTAGAATGTTCCCGGCAGAAGGAAAAGTTTATAAGATCACCTGAAGTGAAAGTGTGAAGAATCGAGTAGTGTTGCTAGTGGTGCAGATGAGACCAGATTAAGGAGGAGACACCAACTTCGAAGGGACTTGGAGTCCACGTTACAGAGTTTGGACTCTATTTTAAGAATAGTGACAAGTCGTTGAGCATCTGCCTTCAGCTCAGGTCATGATCCCAGTGTCCTGGGATCAAGCCCCGCATTGGGCTACCTGCTCAGCCGGGAGCCTGCTTCTCCCTCTCCCGCTCCCCCTGCTTGTGTTCCCTCTCTAGCTGTGTCTGTCAAATAAATAAAATCTTTAAAAAAATAAAATAAGGGGCGCCTGGGTGGCTCAGGTGGTTAAGCGACTGCCTCCAGCTCAGGTCATGATCCTGGAGTCCCTGGATCGAGTCCCGCATCGGGCTCCCTGCTCGGCAGGGAGCCTGCTTCTGCCTCTAACCCTCCCCCCTCTCATGTGCTCTCTCTCTCTCATTCTCTCTGTCTCAAATAAATAAATAAAATCTTTAAAAAAATAAAATAAAATAATAAAATAAAAAAAAGAATAGTGACAAGTCTTGCAATGGTTCTAAGCCAGGATGACCCCAGTATTTTTGTGTAAAGGATTATTTTGACTGTTGTCTTGAGACTGGGCTAGGGAGGAGCATGAGTGGAGGCAGTTAAGTCTGTTCAGAGGCCATTGTAATAAAGCAGATCAAAGATGATGGCGATCTCAACTAGGGTGGTGGCAATGGCTAGAACTGTATGTATTTGAGAGTTATCAAAGAGGAGGGATCTCAGAACTTGGTGAGAGACGGAGCAATGACAAGTTAGATAGTCTAGGAAAGAAAGAGGGAGGCATTCTCAACCAGCTCCCTGAAAGGTGATGCAATGTACTAAAACAGAAACCCCAGAAGGAGGAGTAAGAGAGGCAAGCCTCAGAATTCAGTTTGGGATCTGTTGAGTTTGACATGCCCAAGAGAGCTCCATGATGGAAATATAGATACAGGATTTATCAACATGTCGATCAGATAATCTTCACCTGGTAATAATGGAGGGAAGGGTTCTATGGATCCCTCTGGGTAACAGAAAATCTCTGAATCCCCTAAAATGTTTTCAAATGTTTAAGCTTATTTTGCATGTGCTTATTATTTCAGGGTGGGGGAAGATTATGGGAGTTTGCTTTAGAATACAAGTTTGCTATAACTCAAAGGCATTAAGGATCACAGAGGAAATTGAAGGGACAACCTGTATTAAGAGTGTCCAAAGGGGGCACCTGAGTGGCTCAGTTGGTTTTGCGTCTGTTTTGGCTCAGGTCATGATCCCAGGGTCCTGGGATCAAGCCCCACATTGGGCTCCCTGCTCAGCGGGAGTCTGCTTCTCCCTCTCCCTCTGCCCCCACCCACAGCTTGTGTTCTCTCTCTCTCTCTTTCACTCACTCTCTCTCTCTCTCAAATAAATAAATAAAATCTTAAAAACAAACAAACAAAAAAAAAAGTGTCCAAAGAGAGTCACTTAGGCTGACAGTGCTGGGCCAGGACCCCAAGAAGAGAACATAAAGAGAACACAAAAAGAGGGTTCTGAAAATGAGCTTGACAATCCAGCAAGGACAAAGTGTCAGGGGAAAAGGAGTGGTCCACAGATTCAAATACCGCTGGGAGGTCAAATAAGGCAAAGAAAAGTATCCATTGGATTTTCAACAAAGAGGTCATGGATGATCTTGGCAAAAGAGGCCGTGGTTGGTGAGAAAGAGAGAGTGGGAGGTAAAAAATGGAAAATTCAGGTATAGGAAACTCAAGAAGGGAGAGGAGAGTGTTAAAGAGGTAGCTGAAAAAGAAGACCAGGGTACAAGGTGGGTAGTTCTTCCCTTAGGATGGGAGAGATTTATGCAATGAGTCAACATTTTAAAAGCTTAAAGAGCCTTTAAGCACCAGCCAACCAACCCAAATAAACAGAAGCATTTAAGGAAATCAGAAGATCGAGCTCAGGGTGTCTACAGTGAGCAGGATAGATAACAGGGAAGAGTGGATTGAGTTGAGCCTTGAATGATTAGCTTTTGAACAGGTGAGGATGAGCCATTAATGAGAAGAAATCTGAGAGAAATAAGACTAAGCAGTCACCTATTTTTCTTTCACCTTCTATTGTTATTCAAAGAATATTCTCTCAGCAAATATAAAGTCTTTAAAATGGAAATGGCCTGTAACTCAGAAAGTGACTACAAGTATGAAAGTATTAACAGTTAAAAGATATTTAATCCAGGGTGCCTGGGTGGCTCAGTCGGTTAAGTGACTGCCTTCTGCTCAGGTCATGATCCCGGAGTCCCGAGATCGAATCCCGCATCGGGCTCCCTGCTCAGCGGGGAGTCTGCTTCTCCCTCTGACCCTCCCCCCTCTCATGTGCTCTCTCTCATTCTCTCTCTCTCAAATAAATAAATAAAATTTTTTTTAAAAAAAGTTGCTAAAGTAGGGGGGCCTGGGTGGCTCAGTCATTAAGTGACTGCCTTTGGCTCAGGTCATGATCCTGGAGTCCCGAGATCAAGTCCCGCATCGGGCTCCCTGCTTGGCGGGGAGCCTGCTTCTCCCTCTGACCCTCCCCCCTCTCATGTGCTCTCTCTCTCTCTCATTCCCTCTGTCTCAAATAAATAAATAAAATCTTAAAAAAAAAGATATTTAATCCAATTTACAATTACTACTTATATTCTTGGTCTTCCCATATGAAACAAGCATACTCTTTGGGGTCATATTGTGCATTTCCTCACTTGGAATTTTTAACACCAGATAGGGTGCTAAGTCAGTATAGGCTGTTGCTTCTGTCACCTAGGTTTCTAACATCTTCCACATATAAAAACACACCCATAAATAAAGGTGCTAATGTTGGAACGGGAAAGATCCTTTCATAAGCAACTTAACACAAGTGACTCCCTGCATAGAAGAAACTCTTATAAGATCTAGCTCATAATTAAACACTATTTCACTTAACTGAATTATTTTTCTCTTATCTTTTTAGAAGACTGTACACGTTAATTTTAAAGGTTCTGTCTATGTATCTAAATTGAATAGGTATTGTTTAAATAGTAGCCTTTCAGCTTATTACAATTTATAACTATACAGAGGGCAGAGTATAGCTACAAGTATTGCAAATTGTAGCAGACCCCTGATGAAGGAGAAGTGTGATCTTATCCAGGGAGGTTTGTGGGGGGCTGGGGAGTGGGCATTAATTTAGGGGCTACACCTTTTAGTTAGAAGAGAGCCCAGTAATAGTCTCAGTAATGGTCTTGGACATTCCTTCACTTCCTTGCCGTAGTATGGGTCTGTGTTCCAAACAGATCATCTGTGTACAAGACAGAAACTTGGATGTCACTATACAGACATTATAGAAACCAACATCAGTTGGTTAAGCAGACGCTTAACAACTGAGCCACCCAGGCGCCCCCCAACATCAGTTCTTAAAGAATCTTATTTTCCTACCTAAGAAAGACTACTGTTACTTTTTCCAATTCATGACATCCCCCACAAAGGAAAGCAAATGTAAAACACTACCAACTTTCCTTGTCTTTATGAAATTTGGCTTTCTATATTTTTGTCCTAGTTCTGGAAGAGGCCAGACCAGTTTAAAAATGCACACACATCTACACACACACACACAGGTCTGACAGGTCTTGATCCTTTATCCACCGTCTCGGGTGTCCTAGTTCTCCCCTTTGTGTGGACACATCGCTTCCTGCATACACTGTTCTGGCCTCTGGTCATGGTCATCCTGTCAACCTAGGTTTTACTTTCCCAGGCGGCCTGTGGGCTTGGGATGTTACAATTTATAACCTGCTACCTCAACAAATATCCAGTGGACCTTTGCAATTTTACTGTGCAAGACTGGATAGGGGAATGTATTTTTGTGGAAATTGCATATTCTATTGTTGCCTCTCATATATCACAGCTCTCTGCACAAGCACCAAAGGCAAGGCATTTGCTAATGACCTCAAACCCCTGCCACCTACAGTCTTTTTTATTTTCTAGGCTTCTAAGTCATTGGGACCATTTCTGAACGACCTCTGTAATTACCTTATTTGCCATGACTAGGAAATCTAAGGACTACTCAGATTGATTAGAGGCCTTGGTGGGAAAAACTTTTGATCTGGGGTAATGTCATTTTAGAGCCCAGAATGTGGGCACTATGATTATGATCTCTGTGGGTCTATAAAATAAGCCTGAATAGCAAATCATCTTCATGGTTATCTTTCCTTTCAAACAAGTAAGAATTGTCTTTCTGGTTTAAGGAAAAACGGAAGATAACATTGCTCTTCAAACCCAGACGAAATTGTCATAGATTTGCTAATATTGCCAGAAAACTGCTCACTGGTGGCAATATTTTGGACACCTGTTGGGAAACCCTTGATTTTGTAGCACATTTGTCTTACGGGAACTTCAGGTCCCCACTGAGCATAATGACTGGTATTAGGATTCCTCAAAGTGTGGTATGAGACAGACTGTGTCCTAACCCCACTCCTCCCCCCTTGTTGAAAAGGTTCTGAGGGTAGGGCGTACAGACCTACATTTTGCCCAGAGCCTCTATGGAGCGCAAGCACTGCAGGGTGTAGGAGCTACCACCCCAGGAGATGGATGGGTAAAGCCTCCGTGGTCGCTAAGACCAGCTTGACTTACAATGGACTCTTGTCTCTCCTCTGCTTAGGTGCAAATGCAACCTCCACGCCACTGTGTGTGTGTATGACAACAGCAAATTGAGCTGTGAATGCGAGCACAACACTACAGGTCCAGACTGTGGGAAATGCAAGAAGAATTATCAGGGCCGACCTTGGAGTCCAGGCTCATATCTCCCCATCCCTAAAGGCACTGCAAATACCTGTGAGTAACTTTGCTCTCTAACACTGTATTCTGTGCAAGGTGAGCTGATAGTTCCTCTCAACTTCACTTGCAATTGTGCTTCTACTCTTACGGTTATCCTATTCTTCTCCAAAATGCAGCCAAAGCTTTAGTTTCTATTTCACCACTTGTAAGCACATTTTCACACTCAGATCATCTGTTAAATTCAGTCTTCCAACATTCACATCAAATGTGTTGGGAAATGATGGAAATCAGGAGAGATTTTTTTCTAAGTGGATGAGACAAGAGATATTTGTTTTCCTCCCCCAAATTAATTTCCTATTAAAATAACAACAGCCTGGGGCACCTGGGTGGCTCAGTTGGTTAAGCGACTGTCTTCGGCTCAGGTCATGATCCTGGAGTCCCTGGATCGAGTCCCGCATCAGGCTCCCTGCTCGGCAGGGAGTCTGCTTCTCCCTCTGACCCTCCCCCGTCTCATGCTCTCTCTATCTCATTCTCTCTCTCAAATAAATAAATAAAATCTTTAAAAAAAAATAAAAAAATAATAAAAAAATAAAAAAATAAAAACAGCCTTCAAAACTCCCAACAGGAACTTAATTTTAGCCATAAGCAACTCGGGAAATTCTCTAAATGTTTCTAATCCCATTTCCCCTACTGGATAACTTGAGGGAAGCTTTGTCCAGAAGATGCTTCCCTGTCTGATTTTGACTATGGCCCAACTTTGCCCGGTGAAATAATTGGCTTTTTCCAAATGCCAGCAGCTGAGGTCATGCCTGGCATGGATCCTGTCAGTAGAAGCCACCTTCCGATACGGAGCATGACTGCAGGCCTGCAGGTATACAGTAAGAAAAGGAATGTCCAAGTTCAGGTGAAAAGAACACAGGCCTTATCAGTGCTTCCAGGAACCATGAGAGATGCCCCATTACCATTCATGTGCACTCCACTAAAATCCCTAAAGATCCAGAGGAAAACATGCTCTGACATGCTCAGGGAGAGACATGGTTATTTCCACAATAAACTGCCCAATTCCATGGATGGACCCATTAGCCACTTGCAAAAGCCCCAGGTTTGCCCTCTTTCAAAAGTAGAGGAGGGGTGAAGTTGAGAATATACCCATGAAGTGAAAAGTAACAGAAATAGCGGGATAGTGAGCAGCAGGAGAATGAGGGCTCGAAAAGCCACTGGCTCTGTGCGAGGCTAAGAATGTTATCAGGTTCTTCAAAGCAGCAGCTGTGAGAAGACAAAACCTAAAAACTAATATCACAGGATCCAGGACCTTATCAAGTTAAATGTAAGAGTAATGGAGCGAGTAACAAGCCATGAAGTATGGGGGCATGAAATTATGATAAAATTTCTATGAAGCAGAAAAAAATATTCTTCAAAAGATTAAAAAAAAAAAAATCCCTATTTGCAAGGGTATTCAGTTTCTTTCTGTGTTAAAGAAAAAAATGGACAGTCTAGCTCCTAAAATTAATACATAAAGCTCTGTTGAGCAGAAATGTTGATTTTTTTAAGGCGATTTTATTAACAGAGACTCTTTTGGCTGTCCTCAATTGTTCAGGCCCATAGACTCATGAATTCAGTAGGAATCATGAGGTTATTTGTTGGTGAACCCCTCTGGCTGGCTACCAAGAATCCCTATCACCACACTTGTCATATTTACTTTAAAGGTTTCCCTAAGTGAAAGCAGCTCCAATTTCATTTTCAGTGTCTGCTGCTTCTTTAGTGGGACAGGACAGAACCGAGGAAGGTTCACAAACACTTGCTAGCATTCTGGCTCAACCTCCGGGCCGGCCAACTTGTCAAGGCGACCAGAAAGCCAGGTGGGCTGAACTGCGCTTCATTGGCTTCTAGTCTCACACGACTGTTCTTCTACCCATAACTGAGCTTCAAAGTCTTGTCTACTTCAAGACATTTTCACTGGGGACCCCTTCTTGTGCCAGCCAAGCTTTTTCACTGCAATGGATATTTTTGTTATATTCTCCGTGGAGATGATGTACCCCGAATCTTTTGCATATTGCCGAAGATCACCAATTACTCCCTGGCCAAAGGAATGCAACCTCTTGCAATTTTCTTTGTGGACTCCATTGCCCACCTATCCCTTAGTTATTACTCGCCTTCTCTAGACTTTTTCCCATTTTCTTTTTTTAGATTTTATTTATTTATTTGACAGAGAGAGACACACCGAGAGAGGGAACACAAGCAGGAGGAGTGGGAGAGGGAGAAGCAGGCTCCCCGCTGAGCAGGGAGCCCAATGCGGGGCTCGATCCCAGGACCCTGATCAAGACCTGAGTCAAAAGCAGACGCTTAACGACTGAGCCACCCAGGCACACCCCCCCTTTTTAAAAAATAAAATACGAAGGTGACAGAGGGATACAATGCCCAAGGAGGCTCAATTCAATGTTTCAGTCTTCAATATGGCAGAAATTAGATAAAGATTTTAGAGATGACTGCAGTGGTTCAGTCTTGCAATGGAAAAGCCTTACAATGGTAAGAACCCCCTAAACTAAATTTCTGAAACATCAGATTGTGCTTTAAAATGTCTAAGGATGGAAATAAGCAATTCAGTGGTTTAGTACACAGCTTACAGGATCAAATACAGTTTATCTATTCACTATCTGTGTGACCTTGAAAAAGTAAACTAACCTCTCCAACACTCAGTTTCCCATCTGTAATGCGAGAATAATAGCAGTTCTTACCTCACAGGGATTTTAAGAGAATTGAGTAGGCTACTGCATGTAATGTGTTCAGCATAACACCTGTCACAAAATAAGTGTTCAAAAATAATTTTAATTTTAGGATTTTTTTTCATAAGGCATGTTTGTTCATTATTGGACAGTTTTAATTGTTATAAAACCTATTTCTTAGTAGTTCACCTGTTTCTTGAGTATCTCGTAATTTCCAAAGAGTTTTTTCTCTTTAAGTAGTAAAAGAGCTGTATTGACCCCAATTTCTTTTCTTCTCCAGATTAACATCATCAAATTCCATTTTTATATAATAAGATTTTCATGTCTTTTACTGGGTTGCTTGCCCTTGAACTCCTCTAATTTTTTAGTGTGGAGATGTCAGCCAAGCATGGGACTTCTGGCACTGACTCTCATTTCATAGCAGCTTTTTCTTACACATATGCATACATGCTTGTGTGCACAGATATGCACACACACAGAACTCTAGGTGGTGCATCATGAGTCATTTAAGAGGAACACTTAGGATATGCCATATCCTAATACAAAACCCAAGAAGTATAAAAAGAGTGGCTACAATCTCTGAACCCTCAACATCAACTCCTAAATGGCCTAGAAACGCCATGCATCCTGGGTAATCTCTTGATTTAGCAGAATCTCAACAGCCAGGATCATTTTTTAATAGGAAGGTCAGTTCCTGCCCGCTCTTGCCAGAAGAACTCAGAGAACTTCATTAAACCAGGAACTTAAAAGATCTCCCTTCATAGACAGTTAACCCACCACTCAGAGGTACCCTAAACCAAGACTTTGCCAGGAATCTAGGACTTTGAAAGTCCTGAATTCTGGAGCATCTTCAAGGCCACTTTTGTGAGAAGTGTATAGAGCCAGGAGAGAAGAATACAGAATAATAGCATTCTAAAGTAGAGCCGTCCCTATACTCTGTGAGACACATCACATGTCCCTATGCTTTTCAATACAATGACTTGTCAAAGGCAGAAGTAATAACTCTTGTGATTATATCTTTATACACCATGCTTTTCCTTGGAGACCCAGTGTGTTTTCTTGGCCTTTTAAAGCCATATGTGTATATATATATATATATATATATATATATATATATATATATATGAAAAAATGTTTTCCTTATTTCTCTACAAAGCTTATGCCTTTTCTATAAGACATCTTTCTTCTCCCTGTTGATCTTCATTCTATTTCTGATAGTATTCTCAGTGTCCTTTGAATTTCATGTCTGCCTTTCAAGTAGATAGCAACTCTGTCCAACTTCATGCTTCATTATGATTCACTTGATTGCTATTGTCCAGCTCATGAATAAAAGTATTAAGTAACACCTCTTTAAATTTCTGATCCTTATGGAATAACACACAATATTTTTCTACATATAGATGCTGAAAACTCAACAATCAACCTTTAGGAACTATAACTTTAAGAAAGATACTATAATATTACCTACACCTCTGCTTCCAAAGGTGTGTTCTATGACCTTTTAAAGAATTCAATGGCAAATAAGTTTGGAAAATGCTGTAAACTATAAAGACTCTAAGACATTTGGGGCACCTGGGTGGCTCAGTCATTAAGCGTCTGCCTTTGGCTCAGGTCATGATCCCAGGACCCTGGGATTGAGCCCCACATCGGGCTCCCTGCTCCGCGGGAAGCCTGCTTCTCCCTCTCCCACTCCCCCTACTTATGTTCCCTCTCTCGCTGTGTCTCTCTCTCTGTCAAATAAATAAATAAAATTTTTTAAAAAGGACTCTAAGACATTCATATTACCTTATTAAAAACATCTGAGAATCCTATAGTAAAGTAACCTATTTTACCCTGTGTTTCCCAAACATAACTGATCATGGAACACTTAATAACTTTCTATAAAACACTGTTTTGGGGACCTTTTGCTCTAAACAATTTCTACAGCATAGTGATAGAAATGTCATGAAGACAGACAGAAAGCCCATTCAGTTCTGCTGTGTTCAATCTTTCACTTTCTTCTTACCTACACAGACTAATATTCTTCAAAGAGAGAAAATTAAATTGGTCTGACATTGACATTATTTGTTCAGAAATCCAACGTGAATTGTTACACAATATCTAGAGCTCCTCTGAGTAATGGAAAGTAATTTGATGATTGTTCTATTATTTTCTCTAGTATTAAATTCGCATTGACCAATTTATATTTTCCCAGGTGTGCACATGTGTGTGTCATTATCCAGACAATTTCCTAAGTGCTTTACATGCATTAGTTCATTCTTAACTCACAACACTCTTATAAGATAGATGCTATTAGTTTCATTTTATAGATGTGGAATCTGCTGACTGCTGAGC